GGGTCAAAGGTTTGGGGTTTGGGGTTTAGGGTCTAGGGTTTAGGGTTCAGGGTTTAGGGTTTAGAGTTTAGGGTTTAGGGTTTAGGGTTTGGGGTTTGGGGTTTAGGGTTTAGGGTTTAGGGCTCAGGGTAACCGATACCACTGAAGCCTGCACCTGGGCTTTCCTCACAGAGTTCCTGGAAATTCCTGGGGTGGCCCAAAGGAAGTTGATAGCCGGAGCGTTCAGGGATTTCGGGTCTAGGGTTTAAGGTTTACGGTTCAAGGTTTAGGGTTTAGGTTTTAAGGTTTAAGGTTCAAGTTTTGGGGTTTAGGGTTTAAGGTTCCAGGTGTAGGGTTTAGGGTTTAAGGGTCAGGCTTTAGGGTTTAGGGTATCTCCTTGGAGCAGGGAATGCCGGAATAGATGCTGATAGTGGGCCCTTTATAACCCCCAATAGAATAGTGGCTTCCGTGTTCTCCTCCAGTCCCTGAACCCTAAAGCCTAGTAGTTGCATTTTCTGGTCCATTCCTTCATTCACTACTAATCACACAGAAATAAGCAACCAAATTCAAACCTTACTTTGAACATTGGCCCCAAAAGATCAGCGTTTTGAGTTCTTGCTGACTGGGTTTGGCTGCGGCCCCAAACAGAAACGGCTAGAGCAAGGTTTAGGATTGGGGCTTGCGGGGGAAGTGTGATCAAATCCTTAAGCCCAAAACCTTGGATCCTAGACTCCCCTAAATCCTAAATCCTAAACCCTAAAGCCCTGAATCCTAAACCCTAATCCCAAATCAGAAGCCCTACGGAGCCCTAAACCCTAAGCTCGAAACCCCATGGTTTAGGGTTTAGGATTTAGGGTTTACGAGTTAGGGTTAAGGGTTTAGGAGTTAGGGTTTAGGGTTTAGGAGTTAGGGTATAGGGTAAAACCCTGAAGCCCTAAGCATCTTGGGCCTTTTTCTCTTTCTCAAGGCGTCCTCCACAGCAGGTATACCACCGACTTGCTGCACAAGCTGATAAACACTGAGGACACGAATCCCCGGATCCTTCCGCGCGTAACCTTGAAGCCGAACAAACTAAACTGGAATTCATCCAACCGTTGCGAGAGCAGGCGGAAGGCCGTGTTGCTTTCCGTCGTGCGTTGCCATGCCAGTATATCCCTTGGTTGATGCTTGAAAAGACCGTCGGTAACATCTACAAGAACATGGCTTGCTGAAAGCTTCCCAAACCGCAGCCAAGACTCTCATTGAAGTGCGCGAGCGGCAGTACTTGAAGCAAGAGGTACACAACGCAAACAGGCGAGGCATAGGCACCAACATCATCAGACATCCTCAATTCGCTTGGGTCCCTCACCTCTGACCAGAAGTAGAAAACGGATGCAACAACGCCAGTACACTGGTAGACGAAGTGGCCACGCCAGAACTTTGCCCAGCGCGTTTTGATCAAAGCGATGTGAGGAAGAAGCTCACGGATCTCGCCTTCGTTATCTAAGCGGGAGACTCTCGACATGCTCTCAGCCAGATGATCCATGTCAAGCTCCATGAGCAGGGTTGTGGCCTCAACTGGTCTCCGCAACCCTAGAACACGAGTAAACCTCCATGGCAACCATTACTCTAACTCCTTTAGGGTTTCGGCCTTTCGGTTTAAGGGCTGAGGTTTTAAGACCCCTTTGAATTTTGGAACAACCTTTACCCTAACTAACTCATGTAGACCCCGAACGATTGGCGAGGCTGGAAGGATTGATGTCTGTAGAGTTGTACTGCACCTTCCGACAAGCTTCTACAACACAAGGATGCCTCAGATCATTATTACGTGGAGCCCTAAATTCGCCGAGGCTATCCAGCCTCAGGGCGTTCAGAACCCTCTAAAACCCCCTCTGCTCCCCCCTTTTCAGACCTCACCCATGCGCTCCCCCCCCCTCCCCCCCCCCTCCCTCCCAGTCCAGGCAAACCATTTCACGTGTCCCTCTCTCCCCCACCATACCTCGCGGCTAATTGCCTCCGTTACTCCCTCGATCCTAAACCCTGCGTGTCAAATACATACCATGACCTATTCGTGTGCTCCGCGCCCAGCCAGCCGAGGCGGACGCGCGACAGCGTTTATTTATAACTATGGAAAAAGAATGGGAGGTACAAACCCTAAACCCTAAAAACCCTGCTAAGGAGGACACCAAAAGTCTGTAGACGAACAGCCCATGGGGCCATGTTATGGGTTTTGGACCACCATTCCACTTACTCTTGAGCTGCAGGCAATCATAATAGAAACAGGAACAGCCATATTCACGATCACGAGTCACACTAATACCACAAGCAATGGAAAATGGTGATGCAAATGCTGATCTTCTTCTACTTTGGCCAAAAACAGCGGGTCACAGCAAAAACAAATTATCGGGCCGATAAAAACAGTGATTTAAGTCAATTTGCATTGCAATGCATGCTTTCTCCTAGTTCGATGCTCCAACTCAGGCCGCTCTCTGGCCCCCTTGGGGCTTAGGGCTTAGGGTTCAGGACCCTCAGTACCCTATACCTTCTGGGAAGGCTAGTACACTAAGCAGGGTCATGCGGTGTTTTGTTATCGGCTGCCTTACCACAACCCTAACATGAATGTCTCTGTAATGCCCATGTGTCCCCTGGACTCTAGTTCTATTATATTCCTTAATGGGTCCGCCTGTACCACCTGCAGGTCAACCCCCAACCTAACTTTCGACCGTAGCTCATATGTCCCTGAAGGCCCCTCCACGAAAATTTCCACTTTGACAAGTCGGTAGCGTTTTTTGTCGTTGAGCCTAGTAAGATTATTTTCTGGATATAACACACTAGACTCTCAAGGAGGATCTAATCTTACCCTTTTTGGGGGTATCGAAAACCCTAAACCCTAATTCTTCAACCCGGAACCCGAAATACTACTCAAGTGGCACTTAGGACCCCTACTAAGGGTTAACCCTTAGGTACCTATAATAGGAATATAAGGAAATCCCAAAGGGTTCAGGGTCTGAGGTCCAAGCTAAGTCC